CTGTTCTGCTACAACAGCCCTCATTGCATTTTATCATCTTTTCAGCTATTTTATACGATATAATATTATGCTTTGGTATTTTCTGATTGTTATACAGACCATTAATATGCTGGCTTTCAGGGCTGCATAACACAAATCCCATGGAAATCAATGCAATATGTCCTCAGTATATTTACGTACAAAACTTAAGAGAATTTTTAGAGGTCCAAATTGTTACGAAGAAACATGTTTAATATCATGCCTCAGAAATGTACACATAATGGATGCCGACTCTGGCACATACGGATAGCAGGATAGACTGATCTTTTTCATATGTAAGTTAACTTAGATGCCCATGCAGGCATTTGCACATCCAAGAATCTCAGTTGCATGGAAAAGTGTAACAACTGCCTGGCATTTTAAGCTGTGCATCCATTTGTAGGGGGAACAAGGGACAGTGGAGGAAAAATGGGCCATGTTATCTGAATGCCAGTAGTATTAGTTGGCCGTTTAGCTTCCCCAGAGCCTTTGGATGGATGTGAGCTCAGATCAGATCTCTCTCAGATGCAGTACAAGCAGAAAGGGTGCTTGTGTGCAGGAGATTAAAACCCACATAAAATCATGGCAGAGTTGCAGGCCCTGCATTTGGTCATCTGGAGCACTTCTGTTTGTAATCCTGTGGAGATCCATAGTGTTTAAGGAGGAGGAATTACCATAACTCTAGTCACAGCCATTGGAATTGGCACACGGGTAATAGCTGGTCAAATCATAAAAAAGCATAGATTTTCCTGCTATTTTTTGGAGTCCTAAAACCAAATGTCTACTAGTGCTTCCTTTTTCAAGCAAATAAACCCTATGCCTCTACTCTGAGCTCTCCCTCATAATTCACAGAGTCCTTTTAGAGCCGCCATTGAATAAATAATAGTTGAATATCTGGCTGCCTTCTCTTTTGTACGTGAGCAAGTTCCCTGTAACTTGAGTGATAAGAATAAAGTGACTCCTATATCACTGTTGCATCACAAGGGAGTTTCAGCCTTAGAGACAGGAAAATCAGTAGGAGTCCGTGCCATGAGTGAACTGTAAAGATCATGTCTTGGTAATGTTACTCATCTTGAGTACATCCCTTATTGCACAAATGAAAAGTCTACTTCATTAAGGAAAGCAGAAACTAACAGTGAGTTAAAAGCCTTAGGATTTGGCCTAGTGTTTTGTAATGGAACAATATGTGCTACTTGTTCTTATGCAATAAATACCAAAAATTGTTTTGTTGTATTCTTGTAGTTACCAAGCTCGTATTGTGCAATAAACTGTAAAAGTATTTTAAAAACAATATGGTGTTAATAAAGGCCATATTAATTGGATCCTCCGTGAGTTTTCTGCTAAATTCATTGTACACTGCCTATTTTCAACTGTGTATATATGTGCTAAGAAGTAGAAAACATTTTTAGAAGCTGGTATTTTAATAACACTTCAGAAATGTGTTTATGGTGCACTTTTACATTTCTGGTAAGTCCTACAGAAATTAAATGTTTTCAGTCTCATAAACTGCTCACGTGGACCTAAGGGCCATCATGAAAACATCCAAAACAATAAGAAGATTAACGAGGAACTGGAAGTTGGGTGCCTCCTATTCACGAACAAGGGGATATTTGGCTGTACAAATATAATAAAATTTAAATATGTCCCATGCAATATGTAAGTTTTACTAAAGACAGAAAATTGAGGGGATTCAGAAAATCGTAATGTGTGCGTCTCAGTATGTGTATGGGCATACCCACATTCAGTCTTTGTATCTACCAAAATGTAGGTGTTGATAGAACATGAGGATATATTGCTGTGTTTATACATAATTAAGTTAGCCAGATTTATCAGAGGACCTGATACTTAACACTTCACAGTGTTAATTAGCCACCAGTTGATGTCACTAGGAAAAAACTTACCTTGCTAATCAACAGTTATTTGCCATGGACTTTTCTTAAAACTTTCCATGAAGCCCTTCATAGTAATGATTACCACAGGCAAGGTTCGGTACTAGCCAAGCCAATCTGGCATGGCAATTCCTGTGTTTCCATGAAAAATGACAATTTATATTGGTAAGTCTGGAGTTCCCAGTTTCTGTGTGGTCTTTGTTAACCTTCTCATTTGAAGGCACACTCTACAGTCATTTTTCAGTCACTTTCTAGCCATCCATGTTCCTTCACATAAGATTCCACTTTCAGCATGTGATATGCTGTTTCGTCAGTTAGTTGCTGAGCTTACAAGAGTTTTTGTAACTTAGAGGGCGTTATACCAGTTTATATCCGCTTAGGTAAAGCCCATTTTGTGCTCATACCAGCCTTATGATCTCCAATGCAGTGACTGGTAGCGCAGCCACGGATATGCTTTTCATGGAGGCTGAATCTCTTTTCTACTGAATGGGGACGGCAGGCTGGAAGGGCACAGCTACCCAATTCCCCAGCTGCTCTGGCCATACACATCTGTAACTATGTACCAGCTGAAAGCTGGAGCAGGGGTGCAGAGCCCCACCGCCTTCTCTACCCCCAGCCCATCAGTGTGACTCTCCATCTTTCCCGGTACCATGTCCTGAAGGAAAGCAGGCTAAAGATGGGTGAGGGTCTCTGGGTGCCATCTACACCACATTTACTGCAGTTGAAAGTTTCACCTGGCCAGTTTGCAACTGTAGCCAAGAATGGGGCTTTGTATATACCACCCACACTCCCACGTTTTGTAACTTCACCACCTCTGTGGAAGATACTCCAAGTACCAGCTGCAGAAATAGTAGCCTCAGCATGGACCGTTTGTCACCAACTGCAGCTAACACCTCTGTGTTGGACTAGGACGATGAACGTAATAGAAAATCATGTTGTAATTAGATCCAGTTTTGAACAAAAGACAAATTATTTATTTTTTTCTTCAAATGAAGCATAACACTAAGGTATAAAGGGAGTATAAATAACATCTGATTGTGCTCCTAAGCTCCATGCTATAACTTTCTTGCAATGACATCCTTCAACAAATTAACTACATCATTACTGTTAAGTATTAATTGCACAAAACAGATACACAAAATATATAATGAGCTAGAAAGAGGACAACATTCTTCCATTATGACAAACAACTGTAACAAGAAATGGAAAAAAACCCAATAGATCTAGGCTTACACAGATGGCAACACTGAGAGTTTTAAGTCCTCTCCTTGAACACATTACATGTGATAAATAATATGCAAAATATTTAAAGAATTTTATTGTTGCTTACAGAAGATACTTAGCAAGCAAAGAGACAGTAGCAATCACTGCCTCGTGTCTCATATCCCCATCATTCAATGCAAATTTTTACATTTCATGCAATAATCCTGAGCTTATTTTCAGTAACATTGAAATGTCATCTATATTAATTACCAAATACATACAGAGCCCAGCTACGGGGTCTATTGTATTATTAAGGCATGAAAAAAGAATAACAGTTTATTAACTCTGAATGCCACAAATACAGCACAGCAGTTAGAAGGCTCAAAAAAGCTCAGAAAGTACCAGTGATTTCTGTGCCAAGATCCTCCCAGAACATGACTGTGAATCATCAGCTCCTGAAAAAGGTACAGAATCAAATCCTGGCCTTGCTGACATCAGGGAGTTTTGGCATTGCCTTGACTGCTGGATCAAGCTTCAGAGCTATCGGGAGTGACTCACACTCCTCTTCATATCCCCAAAAAATTGACAAACTTCCTCTCACTCAAGTCAAGTATGAATTTAAAAAACAATACCTACATACTGTTTTCTTAATTAGTATTTTAAGTCTATGGAAAGGTTCCACTCATTATACAGTATGGCAATTGAGAAAAAGCCTTTTCAGAAAAAGCTTATTTGTTAGTTTGATTTATTAGTATGTTAAAAGAAGGGGGAAGTATCACGCAAAGAACCTCTGCCACGTCTATGCTCTATTTATAAATTATTTTTTGTTTCAAAATGAAAGACTTTGGTAAGTCAGACCAAGGATATGTGATGCAATTCTTGTCTCCATGGTTCAATGGCTCTTCTCAAAGGCAAACAGCACCACAGCCCTGTCCAGTCATCAAGTGAAAAGCTTATCACCTGCATAAATTGTAAGGGGCTAGTAGTATCTGGGTGGTGCAGTACTTCACATAGTCTCTGTTTTACAGTTAAGAAGTTCTTGCAAAATGCCCTGTAGCAAGCCAGGGTATTCCAGTTCAGTTAACTAAGCCATTGAAACCAAGGCCAAATTGGTAGCAAGACCTACTTCATACTTACAATTGCATTATGTCCCACACTGGGAACTCAAGTATCAGATGATCTCCTCTGACTCTGCCCCTTCCATAGATACTCGCCAAGTTGAGCTTAGCGTTTACAGATCCAGTAGCCTTATCCTTCTTCTACAGGTGGCCCACAGTCTGCCCTGGAAAGAACCATGGTGTGCAAGAGGGACAGACTCGTTTACACAGCTTTTGGGCGTACTTCATCCTGTGACTGCACCCCTTGCACACACAAGCCACCCCTTGACAAGGACAGTGGTGTCCAATTCTGTCACTGCAAGGCTCTGAAAACTTTGCAGATGCACAAATCCAACTTAACTAATTTCATCTAAAACACCAAGTTATAATATTGAAAAAATGGTTTGTCACAATAAACCATTCAGGAAACTCATTACTGTCTCATGGGAGACAGAAGGAGAAAAAAGGTTGCTGAGAGTAGTTGCTGGGTTAGAATTTGTGTGGGTTTTGGCTAACAACTTCTACTAATAAATAAGTTAAAGAAGGCTAAGGCTATAAATTGGTACTGTTTCATTTATAAATATTCACTTTATTTCTATTCTCTTCTAAAAAAAACATGTTAAGGAAAAAGGTGGCCAGAAAGATTACACATGTTGTAAATTGTAATTTGGTTGTTAGGCTGTAAAAACCAAACACGTAAGTGAAGTTGAGCACAGTGTAAGAAAAAGCCAGTTTTTAATTAACAACTTATTTACAAGTTCATAAAATCAACTGAACTGGAGTAGATGTTCTGTGTTTGTCACCAATATTTTATTGTAACTGGTAACTTGCACGCTTTATAGTAGAACAAAAAGAAAATAAAGTTCACTATATACAGCCTTTGTACAGGCTACTTGACTATACGCAAGGCATAGTGATCATAACACAACCTAGTCTTCATAATAATTTGTGCACAAAAAGACACCAATCAGACATTATGTGAACATTACAGTGAAATGACATCACAAGTCCAGTGAAAATTCAGCATAATACAAAACATATTGATCTACTGCAAATGACATCATTTAAAACAATAAGCCTTTATTCAGTAGTAACTTAACCAGAGTCTGATGCAGAGATTTGTTGTGTGGTTATAAGTCTTTTAAGTGAAGCAACCTCTGCAGATAAGTTTGCTATGCCCTGCTTCAGATACAGGTTCTCTGACTCAGACACATTGTAGATACTGTCTTTTATTTCAACAACTCCAGTTTTGCAACCACTCTGAATTTTTACATTGAGTTCCTTCTGATGCCAGAGTTCTGGTTTAAGTGACCAGTCTTGGATGTTCGTCACCTGAACAGAGAAAGGAGTGTGAGAAGAATGCACCAAGTTTTGTGCACCATGTTTTTCAAGCTCAAAATGCCTTTTTGAGGACATGTCAATGGGTGATGACAATTTCTGTGTTGCATCATAGTCATTATCCATTGCTTCCACTTTAACTTGCATGGCTTTGGCTTTAATTCGAAGCTTGTGAGGCAAAGCTGAAGAATTCACTTCTGGAACTTTAACTGTTGCATGAACATTTTTATGTTCAACTGGGGAATGGATTGGACCCTTAGGAACCTGCTGTTCATCTTCTCCATCAGATGACTTTCCAACTACACCATCATCAGTTTCTGACGTTCTGGGGGAATTACTGGAGGACCTATTAACTTGCAAGAGAGGAGGAGAATGTGAGTACACGTTGAAGGTAGCTCCCATGTAGTTTGGATATATGGATGCTTTATATGAACCTCTGTCATCTCTTGGCTCTCTCTCTAATTCCACGGGCTCCTGTTTTATAATCTGGAACTTATTTTCGGGACTTCTGCAGTTGCTTTGTATACGACTTGGCTGAGTATGCTCTACAGATGATATTTCAGACACGTCGGACATTGAGCTTTGAGGAGAATGTTTAATGACAGAAATACAACTGCTACCAACTATAGATGGTTCATGTTCATCTACAAATGAGTTAATATTTGATTTGGAACTCTGATAGTCTTGGAAATACACAGTTGTTGAGCTACTGAGTTTCTGTATCTCTTGGGCATAGGCTGCAGAACTAATTAAACCAAACTTTAGCTTCAACGAAAGCAGCTCTGCCTTCAAAGTGGCATTCTCCTCTCCCAGTGCAATTAGTTTGTTCTCTAAGACAAGGTCATTCAGTCGTCGTTTTTCACGAGATCTTTTGGCAGCTTCATTATTTTTCCGCCTTTTCTCCCAATACATAGCATCCTTCTTCTCATCTGGAATGAATTCTCGCTTTCTCCGGCAAGCTGAAGATTTGCTTTTTCCACTACTTGCTTCAGTAAGTAGTATATCTTCATTTGTGGACAATTCTTCAGACACTTCTGCTAAAGTAGACTTAAGTACCATGATTTTGTCCACATTGCTACTTGTGTCAACAGGTCCGTGTTCCTTTTTAAGGGTCTGCATTTTTCTCAGCTGCATCAGAAACAATTTGTAGTAGATCTACAATAAACAGAGCAAGCTATTTCCTCAGTACTTCTCACTCCACAACTTGATAAATGGAGTAACTTTAAATCCACACACATTCTTCCTTTTCTTTCATATTCTCAGACAGAAGTGTCTAGAATAGATCTTAGCAGAGGCAATGGCAGTCTTCTCAAAAACCTGGAATAAATAGAGAATTTGATTACAATTTAGGAATTGCTGCTTCAGGACATGCAAAAGTAGCTTTTGATAAAAAGCTTAGACTAGCATTTGGTTCATTAAACCTGCTGTAATATGAAGCTCAACACTGAAGCAGTTGCTGATATTCTAAGTTTTATGATACCTATGTAGCAGATTTGCTTTCAAAACAAATACAGTGTGATCCAAGGGAAAATCAATTAAAAAATATTTGAGTTTGGATCCTACGGTAATGTTGTCACAGCACTTTCCATGATACCACTGACCAACCTAAACCTCCAACACTTAACACTGCAGGATACCAGGCATGTTGATGAGCAGCACTGGAACATATCTTCTTCCACATTAAAGCACCTCTTTTGAAAACAGCTGTGGTGTGTGACTTATAAATGCTATATATTTGGGTCCTTCATGGATTAAAAATAACATAAGCTGATTTAGACAAGCTGGAGTGCTTTCTATTGTCTTAAAATAACACCACTATCCATTAAAGCTATTAAAGACTTAATTACTGGTTTTTCACCCTATTAAAAAAAAATATATAAATATTTATACACACACACTCGGAATTTTAAAATACCTTTTTGATCAATCATATCAATTCAAACTAGTAAATGAATACATATAATTTGGACAAATACCTAACTACTAAAAAAATATTGACAAGGAAAAAAAGTATTACATTTTTTTCCCCTGTCTCTTACAAAGAAAACTTTAAAATCAGTATTGAAAAATACATTAGAGAAATAGCATTTAATTAATAATTTGCATTTGAAAAAGTCTTATTACTTCAAAGTAAAGTTTAATACCATTGAGGCATGTGCACCTTTAGAAAACAGTGTTTGCATTAAAATGGAAGTTTAGATCTACAAGTCTTACCATTAACAAAGGAAAACTAGCTTAACCTTTAGCTTCAGACATTTTAATCATTAAATTTAATCTTAGCATTTAAATTGGCCTTTGTTTTATTTAGTCCCTCTTAATGCAAAAATACTTTATTCTCATAAGATCATTTGGTCTTGATCTGAGATATAGCTTCTCAATATATCATTTTCTACAGTCCGTCATCTTTCTGGTAAAATAAATGTAGTATGCCAAGTGCATTTATAAAACTGACTATCGAGTCAGCAATGATTCTTGCCTGTATAACAAAAAAAAAAAAAAAATTCAAAAAATCAGCCACTTCAGATTAATGTCACTGTTTACTGGGAATGTTTTTACAATGACTAATGAAACTAATTTTAACATTATCAGTTGGAAAAGTTATAAAAGAATTAATGAAATGTATTCTGCCAGTTTCTTTTCCAGAAGGCAAAGAGGAGTGAGTGATGTAATAACAATTAAGCAGGGTCATAAAGACTCAGGTTTCAAGCTGGGTTCTGTTCCATCAAACCATGCCAACTCTTCTGTCATGAAAAATTAACACATTTAATAGAACAGCTAAGTAGAATTTCCTAAAATCCGTGGTTAATTACTGACATGTAACTATTTGTCTTCAATAATACAGCCTTAATGGAAAATAGAGTTAGAAGCCAGCCACACCAAAGACAGCATCTAACATTGTAGTGCAAAACCAGCACCACAAATTGCCATGTTTGTAAAGGAGAAATGTATCTCTAATATAAAAGCAATTACGTAGTTAGATCCTGATCCAAAATTGAAACTGGAGTCAAAGGGAGCTTTCTGTCAAGTTAAATAGGAGCTGGTTCAGGTTTAAAAAAAAAATAGGCCCCACAATAAAGCAACATCTGTTTGTCCAAACATTCAGTATAATTTGATTTGCTGAACAGGCTGTATAGCCATTCTGTCCATTTCACTGCTACATATAATCAATGGTTTAATTAAAAGGCATACCATTTTAAATCTAGTGCAACTCAACACTTTAAAAAAAAATATTGTTGAACACATACAATTTAAAAATAAAAAAAGACAAGGGCACCTGAATTTTTGTGGCAATTGTAGAATATTCAGTCTCTGTAACATGATTTTACATTAAAATAATAAAAAAAAACCCATACTGAGATTTTATCTCATTATCCAGTAGCATTGGGAATGCATAGCTATTGATCTGCAATTGTCTCGATATACCACAATCATTGTATTCACTTGTATCATTAACAACTTCTGTGTTTCTGCGGAAATGCAGAATGGCACACAGCTGGAAGCAGTATAACATGTACTGAATACCTATGAAATCATCACTTGTCTCTTAGTATGCATCTCAGCCAACTCTCACTGAAGTCAAAAGGATTCAAAACAACTTTTGTGACATTTCAGGCCTCTACCAACACAGAGGTCTTACTGAATTTAGCGGTACTACAGAGCTGCACTCAAACCCAAATAAGAATATTTATTCTCTTAGAAAAGGGATACTGGTATGCATACATCATTATTTTCTATATATTTAGCTTCCATATACCCTGGAACATCTACACTTACTTGAAATAGTAGCAATAGCAAGGAAGTACTTATAAGCACAGGATTTGTGCATATTTTACAAGAACAAAACTATACCTACACAGATTTAATACATTTTTTTTCCTCTTATACACCAATCTTCCATTTCCACATGATATAGAAGCAGTATGCTTAGTCTTGAATAAGACTGTTTCAGGATAAGAACTATGACTTTGTGTCTATCTGTATGGTCTCCCACTCAAAGTGATCTCGGTTGGTGTTTGTCCAACGCTGCAAGATAGGATAAATACTAATAATGATAATAACAATGATAATGACAATAATAACAATTAGCAAAAATTTGTTTGTTTGTTGGGTTTTTTTTTTCCTAAATGAATGTAGCATAATGGCACAGTTCATCGGTATGACCGTCTACACATCAGTAAAAACTCAACTGTATGTCCAGACGTAATCTCCTGCAGCCTAACACTGGCACTAAGCTGCACTTAACAACCCAACAACTTGCAGAGTTCATGTCCCTTGTTCCATAGGACTTCTGCAGTTTGGGCCATTCCAGCGTACAAGCTGCTCACTGTAGCACTGATAACTCCTGTTTTGGCCAGTCTCCTTCCTGTACACATTGTTCCTGGCACAAATAGACAGAATGTAAGTATCATGCAAGTCCACAGCAAATACTAAGTGTGTATCAAAACAACCACGTTTTTGCATGCAACTTTGCTTTCTGCCAGAGTCCATCAGTAAAGCTGTCAAGACAGACATGTAACCCACTGACATAGTCTTACTGGTTTGCTATTTATGTAGTTCTAATGCCGTTACTTTAGTGAACTAACAAAACAACAACAAATGTTTAGCTCTTTCCACATCTTCCTTGAGCATTTTTATCATGGTAACTGGAATTGCTGCTTTACAAACAGGAGTCAAAGCCCTTGTTTATTAATACTTCTCCATGTGGATCAGCCCAATGCTGAGTCTGTAAACAAATTAAATTCCATCTGATGATAATGGCAAAATGCCTTCAAGGAAACCAGCCATTTCAGTTCACTTGCATTTTATAATTCCACTGGAAAACATCAGTATTTACACATAAATTAATGAACTGTAATGATTCCTCTGACTATATTTCAAATTCCAGTATTTCCCCTTATGATTAATTTTTCAATTGCTTTATCACTCCCTCATAAAGTGTTATAAAACCGACATTTAATACTGCCTTACATTAGTCACTGTTAAAGTTGGGTGGTTTTTTCTTTTTTTTGGTTAGTTGATGTTAATGGCATTGAGTGCCAATTCAACAATGTAATAACACTCAACCCTATTAACTTAATTACAGACCCAGTCTTGCTCCCACAGCAATTCTGCCATTGGCTTCAACAGAAGCAGGATACAATCAGATCCAAGTAGTGAGACTGTTGTATAGAACTCATACTATTGAATCAAGAAATTATGTATGCAGAAATCATGAAAAGTTAATTTATCCACGGACTTCAAAAAACACTTAAGTGATCTGATTGTGTCAAAATAGTACATTAAGGATCTGATCCTGGGGATTTCTGTATTCACACTGTAATAAATGAAACGTTTCAGAAGGTTGAAGGACAAGGTCACAATCTTTCCTCTCTCTCTCTTCTCTGTAACTTAATTATATAAGTAATTTCTGCTTTAGAGAATGCACGTGGGCCTCCCCACGTTCATATGTTTCCCCACAGAGTAACTGTGTACTATTATTTTTTATTTAGCAAAATAATTCATGCTGTCTCCAAGCATAATTTTTCAAGCAGATCCTAGAATGTTTAATTCTATTGCTCTAACATTTTAATAGCAATTCTATGAAACCAAATGAAATCCCATTTCTAGCAGCTGGATGCTCAAACACAGTTCACTTTTGTATCATCATGCATCCAAAAAATTTCTCTCTCAGTCCTTCAAAAATGGAAGAAAATAATGGCTAAGTACCAATTCTTGTTTTAAAAAAGAAGCACGCCTCTATCACCATCACCTCTATATGGCAAACTGCAGAAAAACAATAAAAGTTCATATTGATATGCATCTGCATATTTTTAGTTGTTGTTGTCCATGTTTTGCATAGGAATCATTAATTACATTACTGCTACCATTCTGTCACAGTTTATTTTGAAAATCTGTCTACATACCAGAAGTACTAGTGTAGATACCAAAATGACCGCTTTTCATTCCAAACTTTGAAAAATTGAAGCATATACTTTCCACTTTATCTTCAAAGTGTTTTAAAAACAGTTGCTACCTGTCTCGAGACTTTTATGAGGTTCAGAAAAAATATCATTCTCATTGCACATGCAGCAAAGGAGGCTAGGTTTAAGCTTTGGTGGTGAAGACACAGCCTGCCTAAACACTGCTGAAATACCTTGGAGTCACTCTACCTCTACTGCTTTTCACAGACAAAAATTGTGCCATGCAATTCTGCATCTCTCAGGTCTATCATAACTCAGAAATCCTCTCCAACAGAGGATGTGGCCCCATTCCAACCTCTGCTGAAATCCTTCAACATACTTTTTCTCATCTTTTATCTAGCACTGTTAGTAAAA